ATAATAATAATCCATAAAGTCAGTTTGAAATTATGGTGACCCTTTCCAGGGTTTGCTTGGTACAGAATATAGAGAAGTGGTTTGCCATTCCCTTCTTCTGGGGCATACTGGAACTGTGCAACTTACCCAAAGCCACCCGGAATGGCTTTTTCCAGGAGTGGAATGAAACACCCAGCCTCTGGCTCCGCAGCCAGGTACCTAAACCAGCAAGCTGTCCAGCCAGCTACCTTGAATAAACCTCACTAAATTCACTGGAATCTGTAGGATGAGTGGCGCACTGGTTCTCAATCACTGGTGCAGATACTGCTTGTGTGACACAAAGGTAGGATAGGTGGGACATAGTGCTCATAAATATTACTAAGAATTCTCTTTTCTCTCCTTCGTCACTCCTCCCTGAAGTTTGATGTAGTACTTCCTACTGATCTACCTGCCATGACTTCTTCATGTTTTACATGGTAGTACTAGCTTTCGATACTTAGTGTTTCTCCTCATCCCTTCTTACCCACATGAACCAATTTTATATAAATCAAAAATATAATAGAATACATACAAACATATGTGTCCTCTTGGGAAAAACAGACTTTTTAATATCTGTTTGGGTGGAACTGAAGGACTGATGACATGGGCATTTAATCCGCTGTAGGGATGGGCTGATTCACTCCTGAAACATTTGCTTGAGCAAGCCAGTCCACCCCCAGTGTGGTCCTACTTGTACTTTTATGAGCCCCGATCAGAGGCCTCTACTTTTTTTGGTGCAGATAGGTTTGCTCTCTTTTGGTTAATTCCCAGCATGTGTGATCTCTGGGAATAAACCAAAGCCCATTCTGTTTTCATTTGCCAGTAAAATAAGGTGGCTTAATAAGAGAGCCAGCTGAGGATATTGTCTAATTAAACACTTCCTTTGCTCCTTGGCAGAGGATCAGAGGAAGTGAAATATACAGTAGGACTGTGATAACTGTAGAGGATCAGTTCCAAGCCCCCTCCATGGATGCCAAAAACTGCAGATATGGAAACCTTATATCTTGCATTGTCTCTGGTTCTCTCGGGTAGCCAGTTCTGGTAATACACCATGGAAGTGCATATTTCTGAGTTTTTTAATTTCATATTTTCAGGCAGCGGATAACTGAAACCATGGGTGCTGATCCTGTGGATAAGGCCAGTCAAAAATCTGCCACCTTTAAGAGAAGGGAAAGAATTGTATTAGGTATACACATACCTAATACACATAACTAACTTGTAATATATAATACAGTAGGACCCCCTCCTCCCCATGTGTTGGATCATCGTCCATGGATTAATTAATCTGCTGTCTGAAAATATTAAATTAAAAAACATAGAAATTTGCAATTTATGTATTTCCATGATGTATTTACCAGATCTGGTCACTAGAGGGCAAAATTATATGTTTAGTGTTTGTTACTTCCATATTTTTCAGCATATCTGGGACCGCTGATATAGCAGATGGGAAGGGCAGTCTCCAGGTTAAATCTCACTTTAGCCACAAAATGGCCTATATGATATGTCCTTAAGCAAATAATGTCTCTTCGTTTCTTTTGTACCCCCATTGCTATGGAAATAAGTTTGGAAAGGTTACTTTTTGGACCACAGTTCCCCAAGTATCCATTCCACAAAAGCAAAGGGAATTGGAGAGCTCCAAGCTGTCAGCAGGAGGGAATAATATATATATATATAGTCTACTGTATATGGCTTTACTTTACTTTATTTGGACTTATACCCCGCCCCTCTAGACAATGTCTACTCGGGGCGGCTTACATGAGTGATAAAATACAATAAAATAAAATACAATACAATAACATACTAATGATAAAACCTACTAACAGATGCATCTATAGATTATCAAGATGAGATAATTGAGAAACAAAGATCAATTAATTGACTGGAGGGAAGGCCTGCCTAAAGAGCCAAGTTTTTAAATGGCTTTTATAAATGCCCAGTGAGGGAGCCAGGCAGATTTCTGTTGGGAGAGTGTTCCACAACCGAGGGGCTACTGCCGAGAAGGCCCGGTTTCTTGTTCTTTCCTTCCGGGCCTCTCTCGGCATAAGGCCCCTCAGCCATCCCTGCTGGCTTTGTCAAGTGATTTGAGTAAACCTGGGTGGGAGAAGACGATCTGCCAGGTATGGCTGATAATAAAGACTGCTGGGATTACACACACATGTGAATTGACTGACCACAGTTGAGCTATGAAAAAACTGACTTTCATGTTCCTATTTCAACTGAGTTACAAAGATACTTGCTCTTTGTCTTGCAGCATTGTCCGCACATTTCCGAGTCTGTGAACCATATACAGACTATAAAGGCCGCTCCCATTTTGGATTCCACTGCCCACGTCTTTCTGACAATAAATCGTACATCTTTTGCTGTCACCATAACAACACCGTGTTTAAATACTGCTGTAATGAGACAGAATTTCAGTCTGTTATGCAGATGAACCTAACAGGGGATACAGATGGATATATGCATAAGTAAGTAAATAAACTAGAATATAATTTTTGTCATTGTTCTAAATTCATACTGAATATAATATTGAGTTGTAGAAGGAGGTAGCAGAACTGTGTTTAGATGCATATCCATAACAAAAAGAAAGCAAACAAATACCAATTTTTTAGATGACAAGCAAGGAGAAGAAAGAATTGACATTTTCTGCACAATACAAATGTTGTGTGGCTAATTGCTATTTTAAATCTATGCATGCTCTGCATATTAATTCCTTGTAATTACTCATACTTAAAACAGCAAGATGCGTTTGATTGTACCTCCCTGGAGTGTTGGCCACCCCGATTCCATTTTATATTTTAATTTTAAAGCCTGTAGTCTGTTTCATAGCCTCCTTTTGTCCACCTGCCCCTTTCGTTTTACTTGAAATAGCTTGTTAAAAAAAAACCTTTTTGAAGAACTATCAAGGAAGAAAGCAGATTTCAAAGCAGATTAGTATTTGAGCTGAGGCTTGAAAAGACTTTAGTTCCATAATTTGTTTTCTGTGGTAGGATTCAGTGCCAGGAAAAGGCAAAACAGCAGTCCTGGGCCAGTAAACAGACATAGTGCTGTACCACAGTAAGCAACAAATTCAAACCCTGGGCCTGTTCTATAGCCTGCATGAATGCTGCAACTTTCTCTCTTATTATTATCCCATATTTCCATCGTTTTTTTCTCTAATTCATCTATTATATTCGTATGCTGGAAAATATTTATATCTGTCCTTCATCTATTAATTTCTCTATAATGACATTTAATTTGAATATAATCAATAAATCATGATTAGTTACTTTCAGAATACGTACCTACATCAGTATTAATCACTCTCAAAAACAAACCTTTAGATGCAAATATATAATGGAGTAACTTTTATCCACTGAAGAATAAAAAGTAAACTTCTGGATATCTCCTTTAAACTGTGTCCAAACATCCTTCAGATCAGTTCTCCTTATTCTGTTCAAACCGTAATATTATTATTTTTCTCTGTTTAATTGGATTTGTCCATTACCATATTAAAATGTCCTGCCATTATTACAAATCCTTTCAATATTTTTTCCTAATTCATTAAACATTTCTTTTTTTAATCCACTTGGATTTCATGCAGAGAATAAATATTAATCAAAGTATATTCTTCTCCTCTCATTACACTATGTAACATTATATATCTATCATCTTGCTTCAATTTAGTCATTTTAAATTCACATTTCTTAGAAATAATAGTTTCAACACCTCTTGACCTTGAATTTCAATAAGTCTTCTCATAAATGCCTGACCAAGTTAATTTAAGTTCATTTAAACCTTCTTTTGTTTGATGAGTTTCTTGTAAAAATATATCTGCTTCATCTTTATTTAACATCACCTCTACTCTTTTTCTTTTCTTAACCCTCCCCAGTTGAAATTCTTAAGGTTTAACCACATTTATTCAGCACCACATCTCCATTCAAACAAACAGTACTGTTTGGGATAAAATGAAATTGGGTATGAGAAGATTAAGTATTACAGAATCATTTTGTGGCGGAATGCCCATGTCACTCCTGGCTATCATAGCTGAAGCTCAAGTGCACGAACCTATGAGAAGACGGGGTGGTTTCAATTAGATAGTTGGGCAGTTAGAGAAGAAAGAGAGGAGTTGAAGAAGTTAGAGAGAGGAGAAGAGAAGAGTTGGAGAGTGGAGAGAGAATGAGAAGGAGAGTTGTGAAAGAGATAAATTGAATAGTCAAGATAAAGAGATAGTCAGAGATTATTAATGTGTTGGTTAATGTGAATAAATAAATACAACACCTGAATAAACATGTGTAATCAAATACAAGAAGTTTTAATGAGTGATCCTACACAATGATAAAAGAACATCTGTGGTTTAAATACCAAAAGATAAATAAACAAGTTGTATTGGCAGCACGTGTCTGATGCATATATTGTGCAGTGTGGGTGAGAGATATTCACCGTGGTAGCAGCGGAAGCAAGACAAAACGTATCCAGAGAGTGAAACTTGGTTTGGGGAAAACAAACTGGGAACGCTGGGTGGAATGTCACACATATAGTTTAAAAAGACAAAGAAAAATATGAAAAAGGTTGAAGAAGAAATAAGATTGTTGGAGGTGAAATATATAAAGGATAGATATATAAAAATCTTATCAGAATTACAAGAAAAAATGGAGAATATTGAATTGGGAAAAGTTCAGAGGAATCTAATATATTTGAAAATAGATTTTTTTTAAAAAAAGTAATAAGAACTCAAGAATGCTCAGCAGAGTCACACAACCTGAAAAAACTAAGAATTTAATTGGAGCTGTTAAAGAAGAAATAGGTAAAAGTGTAATTTGATAAAGGATAAATAAGAAGGTTTTCATTTTTTTTTTCAAAAATTATATACTGCAGGAAGCTTCCTCTGGGGAGAATTAGAGAATATCTTGAGAAAAATTTGGAGAATAGACTTCAAGATATGAACAGAGATTTGATGGAACAGCCTATTAGAGAGGAAGAGATAGGGGATATTATTAATGAATTTAAAGTAGTAAGCACTATAGGAATGAGTACACTGGGACTGAAGTACTATGGTGCCTCGACTTACAAACGTCTTGACTTGCAACCAATTCAAATTACAATGATCTTGAGAAAAATTTGGAGAATAGACTTCAAGATATGAACAGAGATTTGATGGAACAGCCTATTAGAGAGGAAGAGATAGGGGATATTATTAATGAATTTAAAGTAGTAAGCACTATAGGAATGAGTACACTGGGACTGAAGTACTATGGTGCCTCGACTTACAAACGTCTTGACTTGCAACCAATTCAAATTACAATGAGCTTCAATTGCAACATTTTGCTTTGACTTGCAACCGGCGCTTTGAGATACAACCGGAAAAGGCCTCTTTTCCCCATTGTTCCCTCCCTCCTTTCCTGCCTGTTTTTTAACCTTAGAGGTCATTTTAGGTTTCAAAAACAAACAAACAAACAAAAAACACAACCTAGTGGATGGATTAACCACTTTTGCAACAAACAAACAAAAAACACAACCTAGTGAATGGATTAACCACTTTTGCATTAGATCCTATTTTTAGTCCCTGCTGGAATTGATTTTTTTAACTCCAAACTCCCCCCTCCATTGTCTTCTCTCTCTATATCCTCCCTCTTTTCGTGCCTAAAGGCACAAGACTTTCTATTAACCACTTTTGCATTAGACCCTATTTTTAGTCCCTGTTGGAATTGATTTTTTTTTACTCCAAATTCTCCCCCCCCCATTGTCTTCTCTCTATATATCCTCTTTCTTTTTGTGCCTAAAGGCACAAGATTTTCTCTGAGAGGTCTATATACCCTAGTGATGACCTTCTTTCTTTCCTCTTTTCCCCATTGTTCCCTTCCTTTCTCCTTTCCTGCCCTTTTTTTTTAACCTTTAAAAATGGGTGGAACAGATTAATCATTCCTGCCCTTTTTTTAACCTTTAAAAATGGGCAGAACAGATTAATCACGTTTCAATGTATCCCTATGGGAAATGGTGTTTGAGTTACAACCAATTTGAGTTACAACCATTATCTCAGAACGAATTAAGTTTGCAACTTAAGGCACCACTGTATCATAAAACTTTTAAAAAAACATTGGTACCCAAATTAATGTCCTTTTAAAATAAAATAATGGAAGGGGAAGAGATTCTAGTATCTTGGAAGTATCATTAATTATATTAATTTCAAAAGCATGTGACCCTGGGTCTTATAAACATATTTTCCTAATAAATCCAGATGCTTAGATATTTACAGTAGTATTAGCAAAGCACTTGAATATGATTGTTGTTCGATATATAAAAGAAGATCAAAGTGATTTTATAATAGGAAGGCACTCTCCAGATTTGATCAAGAGAGTATTAAGTGTAGTAAATGTTATTTTTTTAAAAGGCAGGAATAATTTCATTAGATATTTTTAAGGCATTTGATTGTGTGGAATGGCCAATATAAAAAAATGATATTAAAAACATTAGGTTTGTGGGAGTGATTTATGAGTATGATCAATCAATTATATCCAGAGAATATTGCTAGTAAATGATGGTATAACAGAATAGATCTCACAAGATAGCTGGAAACCCTGGAGCGGTTACCCATTTCTCATTGCCTGTAGAATTGGGGGACATGGAACAATATATTTATGTCAACACTTAACTTCCTGTTATCCTCTATTGACAGAGGAACAAAACCCCTCATGAGACAAGGCAGAGGGGGAAAAACATTATTTATAGCTGGAACCTCAGGAATGTGTGCAAGAGATATTTTACTTCCTTCTCTGGGGAAGGGGAGATCAAGGGGATAGATGTGGGGAGGAAGAAAGCACAGAGACATGGTGAAGTAGAGCCAGCAAAGGAGCTGGGGACTTGCTGGTGGGAGATGAATAGCCATGAGAATGAGAGGGAGAGGGAAGAGCTGCAGGGGAGAGAAAGACAGCCAAGGAAATATTTCAAGGGAGAACTACTGGAGCTTCAAAGCAGATGAATACTGTGAAGAGACAGCGAAAAGAAACCATCCTCTTTAAGCCAAGTAATTTTCTCGGCTTTGTACAAGCAGGATAATAACATTTACTGTATTTTGTGGTAATGACTTTCAAGCTCTGCTTTTGGTTTGCTGAACCTGAATTTTGAAAGCATCTCCAAAACTTGCCACTATCAGGCTGTTTCACTTGTCCAGTTTTCTTGCAAGATGCTTTCAAGGTGATACTATCTCTTCTTCTGGAATAATGATGAGATACAATGGAAATGGGCCTAATTCCAGGATATTGTGCTCCAGGACATCAAAAAGCCCATGCTACCAGTGTATAAGGACTTATGGTTTGAGGGGAGGCAGAGTTCGTGCTGAGCTCCACTCCCTTTTAAACCTTTTTAAAACTTTTTTCAACCTTTTTTGCTCCTTTAATCTTTTAAAGAAAACTGTTAAAGCATTTTCATAACCAAGCCTTTTATTGTTCATAATGATTTTCTAAGGAAGAGTCAAGACTTTTAATATTTG